AATCGAATAAAAATTTAAAAAATTCATATATAAATTCTTAATTTTAATTTTATCTATATTTTCATAGAATATATCATTAATCTTTCTGCAACTTTAAAAATTTAGAAAATAATCCATTCATTTTTTCCGACTTTAAACTTAAAAAGTAACTAATCACTTCTTATTTAAGTTATTGAATATTCAAATAATAATTTCATCAATTTCCAACAATCTCTAAAAATTCAGCTAGTATCTCGTCGTTTTCAATTAAAAATTCAAATATAAATTAGTTTAAATTGTATTATTTTTTTATATAAAAAACAGTATTGTTATAATAAAAATATATATAAAAGAAAATTTGAAAAATATAAGGTTAGAAGTCAATCAAAACAAGCTTCCAACAGACCAAAAATGTCGTCAAACATCAATATAACAAACCGCACTTTCACCAGCTACATGGTTTTGTTTATTGCATGCGTTGGAGTTAATCTTCAAAGAATTTGAGCGATCAAAAAAGCTTGGCTTAGTTTCAGGAAACTGTAAATGTCAACTGCGTACAAGTTACGGGTTACCATGTGCACATGAACAGACATATTATTTCAACGCAGGCCAATCTATTCCACTTTAATCGATTGGCGGATTTTGGAGGAAACTTGATTTATCACTGTGTATATCAGTGGAAGATGGTGATATTTATTGTGATGATGAAGTGCAAATGTTTGCTGAGAAATTCAAAAAACAGTCGAGATCAATGAAGTCTAGTTTTCTAAGAAAAATAAGAAAAATAATAGTGCCTTGGACAATTCGTATTTGTGAACCGACTGTTTATACAACTTGTGGTCGTCCCTCATTGAAAAGTAAGGTTGTCAAAAAAAAAAAAACCGTGTCAACCCACCAACTCAAGAACCCCCCATAGGCATAGTTGTCCAGACACGTCAACATTTGTGGAGTTTGATGTTTTGGCGAACAATGAACAAGCGAGACATAGTTCATACTTTGACCAGAAAAATTATGCATATCTATGCATTAATCAATTTCCAAGTATTTTTCATCTTTACATCCTATAAGCACGAAATGTAGTTCATGCAAGTTACTTTTTTTTTTATCTCAATGTATTAATCAATTTTTAAATAATTTCCATCTTTACATTACGTAGGTACAAGATGTAGAAGGCGGTAGAAACTATGGATTTCTAGCGATAACCGTTTGTCTCGGTCGCCACGAAGATGAATGACTATCTATTTGATATGATTTAATGGATGAGTTAAACATGTACAAGATAGAATATCTTGAGGTGTATGTCATTGAATTATGATATCAGCTTTATAACTTTTTGAACTTCTTTGAGTTGTACTCATTTGCACGAAATAAGCATTGGATGTATGTTTTTAAAACACGTTTGTTGATTGCTTCAAGATACAATGTGATAATATATATTCTTTAACAACTATAGGTAATCTGACATTCTTTCCAGTTTGATCTAGTCCTCCACCGTGGTATGAACATGTTGCTTTTACAATTTGGTACGTTAACGATAATCATTACCTCAGAATATCTTTGGCAGAAGGGCACATGATGTCTTCTATTGTGCCAAATTGGTTTCGTTCAAATATGATTGCGCAATCGCATGAGCTACTCCGTACATAACCCAAATAAATAAGTACGAGCAACTGTTATCTAGTAATCGTACTACATAATTTATTTCACTTGATTGAGTTGCAATATTTTCAAACTTTTTGTACTTTATTTGTTGATTTATCAATTAACTTATGTTGATGATATTTTTTGTATTAAATTATTTTATCTTTATAGCTTTAAACATTTATTTATAAAAATACATATATAAATTATTAATTAATTAGAACGTTAACAATACAATTATAATAACTAAAAATAATTTATAGTTATTTGAGCTAAGTTAGAAATAGTTAAGTTGGAAATTTTTTATTATAAAACATAAATTTTGAAAAATAAAATTAAAAAACAATGTTGAAAAAAAGTTATAAAACATAAATTTTGAAAAATAAAATTAAAAAACAATGTTGAAAAAAAGTTATAAAACATAAATTTATAAGACATAAATTTTTGAAAAAAAATTATTAGTTGACTTTAACTTTAGGAATAAAAAGGGTGCAATTTATCAACAGAGAGGGGTGTATATATCCCTCATCCTTAATTAAATAAATAAATACTTTCCTTAAAAAGTAGTAAAGAAATTTATCATCCCAGTAAATATCCATTCAGGCTTTTTATCTTCTAGAAAACATCATTAAAATGATTTTTTTAACCGTTAAGCATAAGGTTTTTCTAAAAGACCGTGTTAATCAAAAATTGTTTTGATTGATTTTCATTAAGTCTTCTATATATAAAATTATTTATCTGTGTAGATTAAATAGATTTTTGTTTTATAGATTTGAAAAAGAAGATGACTTTTCTATAAAACTTTTTTCCAAAAAATAAGTGAGTTTTGATATTATTAAAGTAGTAACAAATGATTATGAAATCTAAGCGAGTAAAATAGATGTATGTAATTTGAGATATTAAGAAAAGAGTAATAAAGTTAAAATAAAAAATGATAATATTTATGATTTGAAAAAGTGAAAAAGCAAAATAAGAAAACGACATATAATCATTTACTTTTTAGTATAAAGGTGGATATGAATGTTAAAAAAGAAACAGGACACGAGAGAGATTTGTTGAATAAGCAGGGGACACACCTTCCCTCCCTCCCTCCCTCCCGCAATTACAGGGCGTCATCTCTCTCTCTCTCTCTGCCATCACCGCCACCTGCAACATTTTTGCCGTCTCTTCCCCCATTCTCTCTTTGCTTTATTACACCTTTCTTTCAATGGCTTTCCTTTCTTTAAATCGTTTCCAATACTTCATTTCATAATTGGTTCAAAATAAAAGCTATGATTTAAGACCTACATACACTACACACACGAGTTTGCTCAAAACACTTTTACTTTTCAAAGAGAGCAAGAAAGATAAAGGAGGTTTTTACAGGTGGGTTGAGCATCTTCAAACCTTCCTTTTGTTTTCATAATGTGATGAAATAGTTTGTAATTCCAAGGATTTCTTGACTTCTCTTCTTCATCTTATGATGATGTGTGGTTTAATTGATTTGAACACCATTAATGACGATACTGACGCGGTTGCGACGTCGTCTTCTGATTCTTATGCATCCGTCGCTGTTTCTCCGGCGCCTGATTTGAAGACGGTATCGTCTTCTCCGGTGCTTTGTTGTTTGGAGTTATGGCACGCCTGTGCCGGGCCTCTGATTTCTTTGCCGAGAAAAGGGAACGCCGTCGTCTACTTCCCACAAGGACACCTCGAACAACAACGAGTTCATGGTTCTCCGGCCATCGGCGGTTTCAACATCACTCCCCACGTTTTTTGCCGCGTTATCGACGTTAAGCTTCATGTAAGTTGTTTCCATGTAGGATTTTTCTTCAAAAAACTGATATATCGATGAGGGTTTATGATGATTGGTGTGTTAAGGGGTTTTTTTTTTTTTTTTTTTTTTTTTTTGAATTAGGCGGAGGCAGGAAGTGATGATGTATTTGCTCAAGTTTCATTGATTCCCGATATTAAGGTTGGATTTCATATTTTCATTTCAATTTATCTGCAACCAGATGATGAACCCTAGTTTTTTACAAATGGTTTGAATCCTGAATAACAGCTGGAGAAGAAATTTGGTGAAGGTGGAAATGAAACAGAGGTCGAAGAAGACGAAAATGACGGTCTTCATGAAAAATCATCTACACCACACATGTTCTGCAAGACCTTGACTGCTTCTGATACCAGCACCCATGGCGGATTCTCTGTTCCACGTAGGGCTGCAGAGGATTGCTTTCCTCCTCTGGTATTCTTTCAGATTTCTTCTTCCTAAAATGGTGTCATTTTCATGGCGTTCACACTTGATATAATTATAAATGACTGGTTCTTGTGGATTGAATAGAAAATGTTGATGGGTTTTGGATGTTGTAGGATTATAAACAACAGAGACCTTCACAAGAACTTGTAGCTAAAGATCTCCATGGAACTGAATGGAAGTTTCGCCATATCTATCGAGGTATATATATAATTCCAGGGTAAATCAAATACAAACCTAATAAATGTTACAAACTTACAAATCAGTTTTCATGTCACTACCATAAAATGAGCCTAAAATATGTTTAAACGTCATAATAACTTACTTTATAGAAGTTTTATATCACTAAACTATAAAGTGAAATAGGTTTACAGCACTCTTTTAAAATAAAGTGTTGAACTATAAAATCAACAATTTTGACAAGTGTCGTATAAATCCATCTTTTTATATGACACTTGTGTTTATAGAACACTTTTTCAAATAATGCCGTACAAAATAACTATTATGACACTTTTTGTTCTAAAAGTGTCTCAAAAAACTTGCTAAAACGCCTAAAATTGTCTTGTAACCCTATTGTAAGACGCTTATGGTTTGATTCAACTTAAGTCCTAAAGTTTGCTATTAAGACTTTTAGTTCTAAGCGTCCTGTAAAGCTAATGTTGTTACTGTGTGTATCATATATCAAACAACAACACATGTCACCATATATGACACGTTCAGGACTGTTTTGCGTGTGAAAAAGAATGAAAATAAGTTAATGTTTGAAACACTCGTATAAACCAAAACAAATGAAAACACTATGAATTATTGAACTATGTGTTGCAATTTTGAGGATGTTATAACTCTATTAGTTTGAGCAGGCCAACCAAGGAGGCATTTGCTGACTACTGGTTGGAGTGGTTTTGTGAACAAGAAGAAGCTTGTTTGTGGAGATGCTGTTCTTTTTCTGAGGTACAAAACTGTGTGCAGATTTGAATCTAAGCGTTGAAAATATATCGGCTAGATTTGGACCATTTCTCTTCAATACATGTTGGAACTCTCTTTTATTTTAAAGGGTTCTGCTGGACAGTAAGTAATACAATGGGGCTTCACTTTCACATATTCTGACATTGATTTTGTCATCAAGGACTCAGTTTGGACAACAATCTACCATATTTTGACACAGAGTGTGTCATGATTCTGTTGCAGGGGTGATGATGGAATACTAAGGTTGGGTATTCGACGAGCAGCGCAAATGAAGACTCCAGCTGGTTTTCCGGCAACCTGTGGCCAACAGTTGAATGACTTCACCGCGGTGGTTAATTCCATATATCAGAAAAGTATCTTCAATGTCTGCTACAATCCAAGGTAGTTAAAAGGTTCACTTTAGTTCTCCAAATCCATGTTTGGCAACTATGTTGGTAGCTTATTTTTTGAGCTTATTGATAAATATATGTTTCGTCCAATTCATGTTTCAATACACTAGCTTTTTTCACATTTTTCTTCTTCTAATTATACCTCTTATATTTACATAACTTACCAAAACACCCATCCTTTTAGATAAATTTACTTTATCATCCTTATTGGCTAGTTTTTACCCAAGCTTTTCATCTAACAGCCAGCTTATCAGCTAGTTTGCCTACAATGTTGCTTTGTAGTATTGTTTTACTGTATTTTCAACGGGAATCTCGAAATCATTGTGCATTTTCCCTGGATCACAATTGGTGGAAACTTGAATCTTTGGTAAAATTGCATCTTGTAGGGGTGGCTTATCTGAATTCATTGTACCATACCATCAGTTTCGGAAGCGTCTCACTAACAAATTCTTGCCTGGAATGAGGTTTAACATGCGTTTTGATACAGAAGATGCAGTGGAAAGAAGGTTTGACCTATATTCCCTACTAAAACCTTTTTACCACACACGATCAGAGTTAAAGTTCCCACACCGGTTAGATTTTGACCATTTCTCCTTAATATGTTGTCATAATCTGCTATGTTTTTTTGACAGGTGTACAGGTATCATAACTGGGATCAGTGACATGGATCCTGTTAAGTGGCCTGGATCCAAGTGGAGGTGTCTGATGGTGCGCCTTTTTATCATTCGTTTTCATTTTATTACTGCTTTCATATCTTAAATTGATTATGCTTTTCTTTTATTTGTATGTTTTTCCTTTCTCTTAATCAAATTTACAAATCCATATCGTTACTCGCTCTCTCTTTCGTCACACTTTTCACAAGCCGGTAGAGGTATACATTGGGTTCGGCAAAGTTTGGTTTCATCACCTTTTTTCCCTCTGTGTTTCTTTACGCCTTTATACTTGCAGGTAAGGTGGGATAGTGTTGAAGTTACAAAGCAAAACAGGGTTTCTCCATGGGAGATTGAGCGGTGCAACTCGGTTTCTGGAGCTAGTAGCATTTCGTCACCCATATCAAAGAGAATGAGGACTGGTTTTCCGACCATCCGACCTGATTTTCAATTTCCCAAAGGTCTTTTTTCATTGTTTCCATGAAAATTTTCTCAGAAAAATGCGATTTTTTTTTTAAACTTGTGCTTTATTTCTTACAGATGGGGCAGAAGGAGCATTAGACTTTGAGAAATCTACAAGATTTCAGAAGGTCTTGCAAGGTCAAGAAATTTTCAGCTATAAGAACGATTCTTATGATCATTGTCCCTCTAGAATCATTGGGCCGTGTTGGGAGGCAAAAAACTCCATGTTAACTAACTATCTCAGAAACCTCATTGGCATAGACTGTGATGGAACCTTACGAATGAATCAGGTCCTGCAAGGTCAAGAAGTACCTTCTGAACCACAATATCCAAGAGCTTATAATAACTCGATGCACCTTTCACCATTTATGCAGCAGCCATCATCTGTTTTACCTTTCCATAACGCAATTCGTCAAGCTCCTTATTTTCATCCTGGATGCGTTACCGATAACCTAGAGACACCCGATTTTGGTCGGGTATATTCAAGACTATCTTCTGATCCTTTGAAAGAACCGGTTTCAACTTGTGAAAGTAATTGCAAAGTCTTCGGTTTTTCATTGACCGAGGGTACGAGTCAACGTACATCTGTATACGCTAAGAACTCGTGTATGCTTGTAAACGAACAGGAAGAGATGCATCCAAAAAGGGCGATAGTGGAGGGAAAAGTTGTATCAATGTATGCCTTGGGTTAAGTGTTGGAAGAAAGGAGTTGATGAATGGTGTATAGCAGGCCAGCAGGAGGAGGATTAAGAAGATGATCCCAACATATAAGGTATTATCATCCTCTAATTATGTTAGAGTGATGGCGTTGCATCAGTTTGTATATTATATTTTGAGTGATTATGATTTCATTTTTGTTATATTAAACTGTTGCGTGGTAAAAGAAGACCTGTGTTGATAATTTTTCGCTTGTAAGTCGGATCAAGATGTATTTTTTTTCCTTTTGGAATCTACGTTTGGGTATTTATGGAAGAAGAATGGAGAAGTTATGGGTGTGAAACATTATATGACTTGATGAAGATGTTCCTTTTACATACATACATGGGTCTTGAGTTAATAAAATTGAAATTACATGGTTACCCTTGATGGTTTTGGATGTGTATCATATGCGACCACATTTGCCTATACATCGCTTATCAAACTCTTAAAACATTTCTATCTTATAAACAATTCTCATTCACAATGAAAAATACATCAATTTTAGAAATATGGAAGAAGAATGGAAGAATGGCAGTATCAAAACGTAATAAGCTGATAAATTGTTTTTAGTGTTTGGCAAATTTTGCTTATAAATATAAAAATGACCAAAAGGACCTTGTGAAATCGAACCAAACAGGGATCATCTCCATTTCTCCCATTTATGCGAAATCGAACCAAACAGGGACCATCTCCATGGAAGTGAAAAACCATAAAAGTCGACAGGCATGGAAACTAGAGAGGAAAATGTTAATGAATGCCTGATTTTCAATAGTGAATTCCATCGTCCCTATGCCTCAATCAAAAAACAGTGTAGGTCGATTTCACACCTGATTTCATCGTCCTTGTGCCTCGATCAGAAACCTTTATGGTTGATTTTCAATAGTGAAGATCAATGTTGATGAAGGGGTGTTTGGATCAAAAACACCTTTGGTGAAGGTCGGTTTTCGATTTTGCAGTGAACCTCGATGTCAATGTCGATTGAAGGCCGGGTTTCGATTTTGCAGTGAAGGTCGGTTTGATTTTCAATTTTGCAGTGAAGGTCGATGTCGATGTCGATTGAAGGCTGGTTTTTGATTTTGCAATAAAGGTCGTTTGATTTTCGATTTTGTAGGTGAAGGTCGCTGTAATAGTCTGGTTATTAATTTAGTTATATATATATATGTATATATTTATTTGTAAATATATATATATATATATATATATATATGTTATGTATGTATGAATGTGAGTTATGTGTGTGTGAGCATTTAGATGAAGAAAAGAAGGGAGAGGGTCGGCTATTAAGCCATCTCTCAATCTTTTTATGGATATGGATGTATAT